ACATATGTATTTATATTAATCTATAAATGTATTCAAATCTGATAGTAAATCATGAATTTCAGCTTTTTAGACTTTTGGTAAACTGTTCATCTTTTTCACTACACTTAAATCTATTTTGGAGAGTCCAAACTTATAACTGCCACATACAGATTTCTGCACTTCAAAGAATATTTACATCGATCTGAGACGATTGTATTCAGTATAATGATGACATTATCAAAGCTGGTGGATATTTGAAGAGCACATGTGAGGAGGCCTCAGCCTCTAACACAAAGCACTAGGAAGTAAAAGCTGCTAGCAAGCAAAACAGACTGAAATCGTCCAAATATGTTTAAGATCAAACGGTTTTTAGTTCAAAACGGTTTTTATTACTTACCTGTATTGCAGTCCTATTAAACACATTTTTAATATTTACATCAGCTCCATTTTGCAGTAAAGTTATGATTTCTAATAGGTTTCCAGTTGCACAGGCATTGCAGAGTTGGTCAGAGAGACTCATATCAGGTGTCCCTTTAAAACGCAACACAAAGCAAACTTATCACCTAAAATTTTCCGCAGGCTGTGTTGAAGACTGAAATAATCCGGGAGGGTGGACTGGCCAAATACAGAAATCTGAAACATGTCCCTCCCACCCTTACATCATCCTTGACTGTGCAGCTGGAGCTGTTACTGAACAAGAATTAGACAAAATTAGTCACTTCAAATTCAAATATTAGAAGTGACTAATTATATCTCGATTTTGTTTTGAGCTGTATTCAGCTCAGTGGCTTCCCCGTGGGTTCAGTGTTTATTTTGACACACGGCAGAGCTGGAGATTTATTGCACATCTGGTTTTTGACAAGTTACCCCTGAACTAATTATTCTGAAATTTAAAAATATATCATTAGGTGCAGTCCTTATGTATAAAACTAAAAATATCTTATACCCCCTTACATTGTTTTATTTTTGTCTGTTTGTTTGTTTACTTTTTCTTTTCTTTTTTTAGAACTGGGAAAGCAAAATTAAGAAAATATATGACTGGAGATAGGACTAATTCATTAGTTTTATTATGATGAAACTGGATGAAACAAGCGATACCTTGCGCAAGGATATTTGGCATATACTAAATATCCCTGGGCAAGATATCAACTCCAAGTTGTATCGATCAGAATACAAAACACCATGTGTGTGCATGGTAGTTAGAAAGCACTTAAAAAGCATAGAAGATAGTGCTTGTGTGAATGTGGCGTGTTGTATAGAGCGCTTCGAGTACTCCGGTAGAGCACAATCAACACTGATTACATGTTTACAGCTTCTATTTGAGCATGTTATGCTTGTCCAGCAGCAAAATAAATGATGCCTCTCCCACCCTTCCCGAGATACTGATATACTCCATGTAGGTCATAATCAGAATATTCAAAGAAAATAATATTACAGGTTTTGCCTATTTTTCCTGCTCCCCTGCTGATTTTCCTGCGTGACATTTTATTGATGTGATGTTTGGGCCTGTTGATGGAAAAAGCTGCATGGAGCCTTTTCACAATATCTATATGTCAGGGATACAGTAAGCCACCTGCAGCCTGAAAAACGGAACCAAAGCCAGAACTGTGACAATGATGTCTGAATAACTAAAAGCAAGCAAAAACACAAAATAATTAAATAGATAAATATAAAAACTTACGTTAAATGAGATTAAAACCGTAGCACACCTTCCTCCTGCTGTTCAGTGCGTGGCATCACATTTTCCAAACGACTCGAGCTGAAAAACAGCCCAAAAAAAAAAAAAAAGGGAAAGAAAAGAAAGGAAAAAATAAAATGTCGCCTTCACGCGTGATTTCAAGCATGTGATGCATTTACTGGCAGTTCCCGCTCGTTTTCAAAAGTAAGTCGAGTTTGTATTTCCGTTTTTAACCTGTTACAGGATGAAAGAGGGAGCGAGACACGGGGATGACTTTCGTTAGAAACATCGCGCAGTCACCGTGAGGCGAGCCTCCTCTCAGTTTAAAAAAGCCTCTCGGATGAATCCACAGCTCGTGAACATCAGAGGTTCTTTCCAAAGAGGAGGAGACGGCCTGATTGGACGGTTCCTCATCGGCTAATAGGCGGGACGGTTAACGGAACTTCATCACACGGTAATAATGGTGGTGCCTTCATTCATTGTCCATGTGAATGTTTTGAAACGTCGACGCGCTGGCGCAGACGATGCGCGCCTTTTATTATGACATTACAGATGCGGAGCAAGAGCTCTATTTCTTTTTCGTCACGTCACGGCCTGCGTGCTTTTAGTTTCTTTTTCTTTGCCGCCCTCTCCTGTAACAAGCTGTGCATCTACGGTCACCTCATTTGGTGGGACAGTTATTTCGGACTTTTCACGCAGAGAATTCACGCACAGTGGATATTTTCTTTGTTCGGACTAGTCTCTGTAAATTCCAGAGATGGGTGTTTCTGAGTGGAATCCCAGCGGATCAGCAGCTTTTGAAATACTCAGACCAGCCCGTCTGGCACCAACAATCACGACGCGTTCAAAGTGACTTTAATCACCTTTCTTCCTCATTCTGATGCTCAGACGTCAGCAGGTCATCGTGGCCCAACCTGGCCATGTGTGCATGGATAAATGCTCGGAGTGTGAGCTGCCATTAGATTCTTGACTGAAGGAGAGGTTGAGCAGATGTACCTAATGAAGTGGCCGGTGAGTGTGTTTGAGCAAATTTCACAGAAAGCATAAACTTATTATACGAGTAAAGCATTGTACTTGTCAAATTAGCATTACGGTCTCTTCAAACTGGCAAACCAGCTGCCTGATGTGTACATTTTGCTGTTGACAAGCTAAATATTATAAATTATTATAAAAATTACAGTGTCTCCTTCTTTCCATTAAAGTCATTCCCAAGTACTTGAAAATGTTCTTTGGGGTCATTCTTATGAGCAGGCGATACAATTGTTAATTTGCTCCCTGCCACTTAGTTAAGCAGAGCATTTACAACCTTCCCTCTAGCCTCGATGCACATTCCCTTATTGGGTCTCTTACATGCAAAGAAAAAAAAATGCTAAGGTTTTAGATTTAAAGCTTCAGTTACCTTTAATGTTTTTTTCTCCAAAGAAGGGACATCTCACATGACTTCTTTTAGCCTTCAGGTAGATAAAACTAAAATATAATTAAAGCTACAGATGCACCTAGTTTATTCTGGGTCAGTTTTTGGTATGATAATCCTTTGATACTATAAGTGACACAAATTTTTTAGCCTTTTCCAAGGTGTTGTTGCAATAAATAAAAGTAATAAAACTTGCAGTTCATCTTTTGTTTTGCTTTCTTCTCACAGGCTTGCACTGGAATCGACAATCCTCCAGAGGCAATCACTCTGTTAGAGCTTAATGAACTGGGATATTAAAATCACCACAAATTATTTGCACTTTTTTATCATTTAGGTTGCTAAACATAGCAGCAAGTTTTTCATTGAATGTATCACGGCATGATCCTGGTGTCCTATAGATGCAACTTATAATTATATTGCTAGCTTTTTCAACATGGATTTCAATAGTAACACATTCCAATACGTTATCTATGGTGCTTGACATACATTCAGTCAGACTACATTTCAAAACTTTATCTACATACAAAAGCATAAACTTATTATACAAGTAAAAAATTGTACTTGTCAAATTAGCATTACGGTCTCTTCAAACTGGCAAACCAGCTGCCTGATGTGTACATTTTGCTTTTACACCGTTGTTTTAAATGTCATAAACTTGACGTAAATATCATGTTTGCTGGTCTGATTACTGCCAGATCTGCTGAATAAAGAAATAACTTAAGTAATAATAATAATAGATATAGTGATATAGTGATAATAATAATAGATTTTATTTAAAAAGCACCTTTAAAAAGCACCTTGAGTCCAAGGACACTTAACAATAGAATAAAACTCCCCACACTCCCTAGCAGATCGTTACATGGAGAAACCTTTGGAATACAAGCATGCTGATCCACACAGGTGTGCACACAGGTGTACACACGGGTGTTCACAGACGCGGACTACACCTTTCTTGGCTGCTGCCTCAAAGCACATTGTGCGCTGTCTATCTTGCGTGCTGCACAATATCGTTTAATATTTAGTATCTACTGTTATCTACTGCTAGCTAGTTTATTGTGATGGTGCTGTTTTTATTATGTTGCTCTTTTTTTGTTTGCTTTCTCTTCTGTTTTTTTTCTCCATACAGGTGACCCAGGTGTTTTGTTTGTTTTTCTTTCTTTCTTCCCCCCTTTCTCACCGTCTCTTCTCCCCTCTGGTTTTCTTTCTCTCCCTCTCTTTCTTTCATTCTTTCTCCCTGTCCTATCCCCCAGTCATGTCTGTCCCGTTTGTAGCAACCGAAAATAAAATAAATACATAATTATAATAAAGGTCAATCAAATGGACCAATATGGCAAGGCCATGATGATCCACTTGGTAAAATAAATCCGCTTGGCATCTTTCTTGGCCTTAAGACAACAATTCTGATGGCTAAAGATCCAAACGGGAGACAAAAACAAACAAACAAACAAACAAAAAAACAATAGAATCAAACACATAATAGAGATGACAAAATGAAGATCAATAAAACAAAAGCACAAGATAAATCAAGATTGTCCATATAGACAATATTGATTTGTAAATGGTTAAATAACAATTTTGTCAACACAAAGTTCTTTATTTGGAGCCCAGTTCTAAAAGAAAGATAAGTTACTGAAAAGTGTTTGTGCTTAGTGCTTCACTGAGCTGAAATTTAAACTTAAAACATCTCAGGATATATTAAATAAAAGGAAAATCTAAATTAAAAGGACCTCAAAGTGTCTCAAAGGCTTCAAACTGAACATCTCAATATCTGCGCAGCTCGATATCTTATGGACTATCCTCCACTGCAGTCACATGCCCCTCAGACCGTCAGCTCCTGTAATTTTGCCTTTTTTCTCTTTTATTTTCAATGTGTCTGCGCCGACACCTATAAACTGGGTGCTCGCGACATCATTACCGTATGTTGGGTTTACGTTCAAGCCATTTTTCTTGTGAAGAATTATTTCGGACTTGAACTTAGTGAACGGAACCTCTTCTTTGACATTATCGTAGGCGATGTTAAACGCGGCCTGTTTGCTGCTGCCTGTCGCTGAAAGCCAGTAGGGAGAGGGGACACTGGGGCAGTGCTTGTATCGCGGAATATAATGTGTTTTCTGGATACGCGGTGCTTTTTCAGCGTTTCAATTTGAAACGTATTAGCAGCAGTCAGAAATGCAGTATTGCCGGCCACACTCACCACAGGTGGGGCGTTCTCGCTGGGTGAACCCTACGGTGGCCCTGAGAGGCCAAACAGACTGCAACTTAAGAAAACACCAGCAATAAGAAAAACGCTGCAAAAGCACACAAAACACAACGGAAATAAGAAAAAACAAAACTTACTGATTCTTTTAATTTAGTTCCATGTGTGCCTGCACCAACGCAACAGTGTGGCCACACACTCGATCTGGTTTTAGTGCATTCAGTTTTCAGGCCCCTCTTCTGTGGAACCAGCTTCCAGTTTGGATTCAGGAGACAGACACTATCTCTACTTTCAAGATTAGGCTTCAAACTTTCCTTTTTGCTAAAGCATATAGTTAGGGCTGGACCAGGTGACCCTGAATCCTCCCTTAGTTATGCTGCAATAGACGTAGGCTGCCGGGGGATTCCCATGATGCATTGCGTTTTTCCTTTCCAGTCACCTTTCTCACTCACTATGTGTTAACAGACCTCTCTGCATTGAATCATATCTGTTATTAACCTCTGTCTCTCTTCCACAGCATGTCTTTATCCTGTCTTCCTTCTCTCACCCCAACCGGTCGTAGCAGATGGCCCCGCCCCTCCCTGAGCCTGGTTCTGCTGGAGGTTTCTTCCTGTTAAAAGGGAGTTTTTCCTTCCCACTGTCGCCAAAGTGCTTGCTCATAGGGGGTCATATGATTGTTCAACACGTTCTCACTTCCGAAGCGTAACATTTTACGCTAGGTGACAAATCGTCAACATATTACGTTTTCGGCTACCCACCACGTTCCTAAATGACGACCTCGGAAAAAGAGGAAATATGAGAACCGTCTGGACTGAACCTACACATGTTCGCTCTTTTTCTTCAAATCGCTTAGAAACACGCTATTTAACATCATTAAAGTCCTGGTTAAGGTCAGGAATAAGGTTATGGTCAGGGCTAGGGATAAGGTTAGGTTTAGGGCTGGAATACAGGGCTGGAACGTCTATTACCGCGGGAGCGTCATTCCACTGGATTTCATCCATAACCCGGCGCGTACCACAAGAACGCGGAAGGTCACCTTTCGCGTTCCTCGGGAACGCCGCAGGACGTGACAAAACGTCA